TCCACGCCCTTAACGGATCTAGCACGACTTTTCCTGTAACCCTGTATGTATAACATTTTTATAGACTAACCAATAACTTTATTTTGAATTACCTCTGTTGAATTTTTAGGAAGACATCTTTGTGAGTACCATCACAGAGTGGTTGCAACTTGGAGCGGCCACATAGGCACCAGTGGTATGTCTTACCCTCTTGTAGTGTTACCCGAAAGGGCTTCTTGTCATATATAATCCCATTGTCTTTCTGCTCTTGCGCAGAGTACACCGATGCGAGGGCGTTTTTAGGAATCTCTGGCTTGGGGGTTTTACTTGCGTAATTTGCCTGAAACTAAACATTAAGTAAATCAGATTCCACAACGTCATAGGATGGTTAAACATCTCATGTGTGAATGCTTAGTAAATAATTTGAGCCGCACTTTTGTTAAGGATAAGGTTATAAATAAATTAGAATGCAATTTTTTGGCAAACATTTTCTGGCAGCGTAAATATTTACGTCGAACACTTCGATTCAGAATTAAAAAGTAAGGCACAAGTAAGGTTTGTTGCAAAGTACATTGACTTTAAATAGGTACAACCACAGACTACCAAAGAGAATTTAAGCACTTCGTTTACAGACTACTTATGACTACGTTGGTACAACCGTTGTTGGTTGCTATAATTGTATGGTTGCGATACGACAAGTTTGTCCACTATATACCATAGATAATACACTATAATCATACTGTCATTCTCCGTAGTTGGGAGTTGGTGGTGGATAGAAGATGTGGAAAGCTTAAGCTTGTTTAATTAACCTAGTAGATTTGTAAAGTACTTCTTCTTCTTCTTTTAAATGTTATGGCTCCATCGAAATAGTAAAGTACTTAGAGTTTTTCTTTTATTGACAGCTTTCAAACATAACAAACAAACAGGTTCTAGTTGTCATAGTAACCCCTTTTTTTTAACATCTGTCTCTCTCTTCCTTTTCGAACGTGTTTATTGCTTAAATGTTTTCGAACGAAGTTTATGTTGCATTTTGAAGCTGAAGGCCTCGTAGCCAACGCTCAATAAATAAAAATAAAATTTTCGAGCGACGACGAGACAAGACAAGTTTAATTTTTGGTTCTGTGCTTTATTTTTTCTTTGCCCATTTTCTTTAAGCGTCGCAATGGAAGTGTTGCAATTACATTAAATTTCTAAGTAGAAACCATGCGCTTCGTTGTAGTAAGTAATGTCTAGAATAAGAGGTTTTGAGGCTAAAATCCAAAAAGAACTACTACAGACTCATAGGAATGGATGGGATGAAAACTGTGAAAAGAAAAGTGAAGGACAGTCTTGTTACACGAAAGATGACGCTGAAAGTAAGGCTCTCCATTTGTTATTTCCGTGTTTGGTTTTTGAAATTATGTACTTATTTCACAACGGTGTTTGAGGTTACTTTGTTGTCCACTTGTTGCTCTCAATGTCCGTTGTATTCCAGAGCAGCAAATCGCGGAACTGGTGTCGAAGCTGCCGCGACTCGACAAAATCTTTACAGTACACCGCAAGATCGGCGAGGGCACGTTCAGCTCTGTGTACCTGGGCTCGCTACGCGCACACTCACCGCTGCCTGACGCCTCCAAGCGTTGGTTCGCCATCAAGCACTTGGTACCCACTGCGCACCCCGCGCGCATCGAGCACGAGCTACGCTGCCTTAGAGACATAGGGTACTGTGCCTCCCTATTGGATTCTTTTTTCTAAATTACCCACTTCATTACTTATTCTCATTACAATTTAAGACTACCCTTTTTAAAAGATTTTGTCGAATGTTACTCTCTGCATACACAATTCTATTAATGTACTGGAACCTAAAAAGCTATTTATCCCTGGGATATATACTGGTTTAATATTGGGAACCAATTTGGTACCATATAATAATAATAATTTATTTTAACCCTAGAAAGATAACCATATTTTATAGAATGTTAAAGATAACCACATGTCGATTTGATGCGTGAACATTTAAGTACACATAATTTTGATTGTGTATATTACTTGTTGTGTTTATGGTAATTGTCACATTAGGAGTCATTCTGCTATATAAAATAAAAAGATTAAAGATTATTGATATTAATATTGAAAAAAGTCAAAATATAACAAAAATGGCTCTTAACAAAAGTAAAAAATATTGAGATCTCTTCTTGGGATTTATAATTATACCTAAGAATGCTAGAAAATCAACTTTATGTAATAAAATTTACTATAAGAATGTAAATTTAAAAAAAAATTATCCTCTAAGGCACTTAGGACAAGTGTTCGCCTAGTGCTTTGCGCAAATGAGAATTTTACATTTGTTGCACATTGACTTGTCATTGTTTTAATTTTTATTAGACAAAATGCACATTATTTCCTTGTCTTTGACTCAGGTAATTTATTATTATTAATAGACATATTTGAAAAAACGTGGCAACTTCAATTTTGGCAGTTGTGTTTTTGAGTTTTTACTAAACAAGAATTTAAAAGTGATCAGTCAACTTATTTTATTTTATATTGTATATAAATAGTTATTTAGTTTGTGCAGATGGTTAGTTAGTATAGTTCTTCTGTGTAGGTGAGTTTTTGATACCTTTTGTTATGGAGGAGAAACTTCCCGACGACCCGGGGGGTTGTGTACCTCATGTGGGTCTTAACATTTGTACAGGGGAGGAAAATGTGATGGATATGGAAGACAATATTCCTCAATTTTTTAGGAAATGTTCTGAATCTAGTAAGTGCAAACATTGTAAGCGTAAGTCTTAAAAAAGATGGCAATGGAAAAGTATATGAAGCTACACCTAATTGCCATTATGACTCTGATGACCAGGCTGCGAAAAAACCTCGCAATTATTGCCAATTCTGATACAACAACTGTACTAGAGAATAATGCCTCAAAAACGTCACTGTCTCTCTCTCAAAATGACATTTTATCTTCCAATATTGCTCCTCAATCCCAAGGTGGACCGAAGTATCAATTAACTGACTCTGCTCCATTCATAGTCCATGTAAAAAGGGAAGCAGTTAATTCTGATGACCACGCTACTCTCCATCCGGTACTATTCAGCAATTTTTTAAAGAAAAATAACTTTAAAAATATCATAAATGGCAGTATGAAAAGGATAGGTAGAAACAGAGTATCCCTTTCCTTTTCAAACCTTAAAGAAGCAAATAATTTTGTTGATTACCATAGTCTTGCAAAACTAAAAGCTTTTATACCTACACTTAATGTGTCCTGGATGGGAGTAGTGCGAGGTGTCCCTGCAGACTGCACTGAAGATTAAATTTTTGAAAATGTGTTGGCACCTTTTGGGTGTGGCAAAATTATGAAGGTTAGGCGAATGAAATACAAAACAGTTGTCAATACAGTTGTAACATATAACAATTTGGAAACAGTGGTTTTAACTTTTGATGGTCAGGTCCTCCCAGACCATGTGTTTATGTGCTACACATCCTTGCCAGTTACTCTATACATATATCCACCTATTCAATGTTTCAATTGTTGCCTGTTTGGACACACCAAGTTACAGTGTCGGTCCAAGCCCCATTGTTATAAGTGTGGTGATGACCATGTTGCGGAGTCTTGTGAAGTTGATGAAGAGAGTGGATCTTGTTGTATATCTATGTTCATATTGCTATCATTTTGCCACAAGTAAGTCATGTCCAGAATATTTAAGACAAAAAGAAATTAAATTACTATGGCTCAGAAATGCATATCCTATGTGGAGGCCTCTAAGATATTTCCAACAATATCCAAATCATTTGCTGCTGCAGTACATTCATCCTCACGTAAGTTACTTGGAATAAATGAATTTCATTTAGTGCCACTTTATCTTTACTTCCAAATAAATCACACAAAAAAACTGTTCCTCAAGCCATGTTCACCACCAAAAGCTCTTGGTGGTTATAACCAAGCTGATCGTGCTTCATTTGCCAAAAATTATCAAACTTCTACTTCTTCAACAAATGGTACAGCTCTTAATTTTCCCAATGCTCCTCCAGACCAACCTATTAATGACTTTGTGATTGCTCTCCTTAAATTGTTATCTTCTCGATCAAATTTGTTCTCAATTATTTTACCATCCATGTTGCCCAAAATTTTGAAACTTCTTTTAAAAATATACTTACCACCAATGGACCAAATAATCCTGCAGTGAAATTGCAGAAGTGCTTGTAATAAAAAATCGGATATAATCTATTTCCGCGCATGCAATGTGTAGAAAAAGGACAGTTAGCTATTTGATTATTTTGTTCACTTATGTAATTTATACTCACGATTCATTTATATATAAATTAAATTAAATACTATAAAACTGTACAAAATAACACTTTTAAATGAGAACTATGATAACACAATATATTTGGTTAGTGACAATATGATACAAAATCCTGTTTTTACACTTTACTGCAGTAATTTTTACAAGTGATTATTATACTATAGTACTGCATGATTGACAACCGCGCTGTCAGTCGAACAAACGAAGACTATTGCACGATTGACGCTCTGTATACGATTTTAACACCCTATAGGTGCCGACATTTTTTAACCCCAAACGTCCATTTGTTGGTAGGTCAATGTATTTACTTAATAATTTTAATCCTTTTGCTGTCTGTCTGTCTGAAACCTAGCTAAAGCCAGAAATTCCTTTTAGATTTTCTGGTTTTACCACAGTCAGAAAAGATAGATTTGATAGTTATGGCGATGTTGCCATCCTTGTAAATGATTCTTTTCCATTTCAACCACTTTCTGTTCCTCCTTCGAGTGATGGTATAGATACCATTGCTGTTCTTATTAAAAACATGTATTGTATATATAATATATATATATATATATATATACATATATATATATATATATATATATCCCTCATCCTTCATGTTCTCTATATACTGAAGTCAGTAATATGTTTTCTCAATTACCGAAGCCGTTTTTAGTGTTGGGAGATTTCAACTGTCAACATCAGTCCTGGTGTAGTTCCTCAAACAAATGTTATGGGGAAGAAATGTTAGAAATATGGGACTCACAACACCTTTGTATACTAAATACTGGCTCTCCAACTCGGCACACTGGTCCATATGAAGGCTTAAGTGCTCCGGATTTATCTGTGTACACACCTGATTTGGGTTCTATGCTCTCTTGGAGTATTCACTCAACTGCTTTTGGTAGTGATCATTACTCCATAGTCATTTCTGTTCCTAATTTACCTCAAACTTTTTTTTCTAGTCTTTCCCCGCGTATGAAGTACCGCCTTCCTAGTGATTGGTCTTTATTTTCACAAGAGGTTAATAATAAAATTTGTTCACTTCCCACTGTATATTCGGGAACTGAAGCTGTGTGTTCAGATGCACTTACGGACTTTAGTAAGTGATAGAGGTCGCCGATGACATTTTCCCAATTAAGGGAATTCGTTCTAATAAAATCCCCTTTCCTCTTTCTTTCCTTTTCCTTGGTGGTAGAATGAATGTACTGCGGCTATTAAAAAGCGAAAAGAAGCGGAAAAGAAATATTGTAATTTTATGACATCTCAAAATTTCGAAAACTACTTGGTGCAACGAGCTGGTGGATGGAGACGATTCTGTGCATCTATTTGTCCAGACGTTACCGCTTCGATCGTCTGGCAAAATATAAAAAGATTTAGAAGTGCTTTCAATAGTCCCTTGAGACAACAGATGCCACCCGAATTTATGGACAAGCTGGCTCCTTCGTCAGTACCAGAACAATCTCAATGCTCTTACTACTCCTCTCGTTATGAATGGATCTGGTTTAAATTCACTGTTTTCGATTAACGAATTAAAAGTTATACTTACTTATTATACAAAGGATTCCTCTCCTGGTGATGATGGAATTCCTTATTCATTTTTAGTTGACAGTAGTGGGGAGACTTTGGCTTATTTTCTCGATATTGTAAACTCCGTAATGATCTCTGGTATGATACCCTCTTCTTGGAGGTCACAATATGTTATCCCAATTTTGAAACCTGGAAAGTCATCTACTTAAGTTGCTTCCTATCGCCCCATAGCTATGTCATCTGTGTTAGCAAAACTTGCTGAACACTTAGTAAAAAACGGATTAGAATCGTTTATAGAAAGCAACAACTTGCTATCAAGAAGTCAATTTGGTTTCAGAAAAGGGAAAAGTACATTCGATAATATTAGTGTATTTATTACAGATATTCGTTTAGCTTTTACATTAAATGAATCAGTTATCCGCTTTTCTAGATATCAGTGCAGCCTATGACAACGTTATAATTTCAATTCTCCAAAGAAAATTACAAATGTTTGACGTCCCATCTATTCATTCTAGGTTCATTATCAATTTGCTTTCTGAAAGATTCATTAATTTACAGTTACATGACTGCACCAAGTTGTCCCGTGTGGTATGGAGAGGCTTGCCACCAGTGTTGGGCGTTAATCAATTCAATTTCAATCAGAAATTCAAAATAATTGCAATTGATTTTAATTGCAATTATTAAGGAGTGAGTTTGGGGGTGGGTTAGGGGGAGAGTTAGGGGGTGGGTTAGGGGTGGGTCACTCATTACGAATATGGCACTCATTTCTAAATCTAAGATGGCGGGCACGATTTTTTAAATAATGGCAAGTTGGGTATCGTTTTCGAGGTATTTGGAGGTGCTCATTACGAATATAGCATTTATTTCTTAATCCTAGATGGCAGACACGACTTTTCAAGTAAATGCAATATGGGTATCATTTTCGCGTTATTTGGGGGTGCTCATTACAAATATGGCACTCCTTTCTAAATTCAAGATGGCGGGCACGATTTCTCAAACATAGGCAAGTTGGGTATCGTTTTTGAGGTATTTGGGGGTGCTCATTACGAATATGGCATTTATTTCTAAATACAAGATGGCGGACACGACTTTTCAAGTAAATGCAATATAGGTGTCATTTTCGAGGTATTTGGGGGTGCTCATTAAAATTCATGCCTGCCATCTGGGATTTAGAGAGAAGTACCATATTCGTTACGACAGCACCCCAAATACTATATTGCCCATGCCATATTCGACCACGGAGGCAGTTATAACAAATTTCTTGTCTGTGAAAATGTTATTATTGCTTCATAATTGAGGGGGTGGGTGAGTGACCCACCCACACCCTCACCCCCTAACCCACCTCTTAACCCAACCCCTAACCCACCCCGTAAACCCACCCCCTAACCCCTTCCCATATTCCCTATAAATTTATCATAATTGTCAGTTTTAATTGTTAATCAAAAACATTGAAAAGATTGAAAGTTGATTAATTGTTAATTGTAGATATACGCGATTAACGATTGATCAATTGTTTTTGCAGTTCTCGCAACTAACAATTGATCTCGCAACTAATAATGTTTTCAAGTGTAAATTTATTTTACCTATGGAATAAATAATCTTTGACTTTGACTTTGATCAATCGTTAATTGCTGTTTCGCAATTGACAATTAATTAATTGTCAATCTTTAATTGCCAGAACAATTAAATTTTGCCCAACATTGCTTGCCACAAGGATCTGTTCTCAGCCCTCTACTGTACAATATATACACATATGACTTGGAACTGTCGCTTCCTATAAATATTAAAGTTCTATAGTATGCTGACGATCTCCTTTTATGCGCAACATACAAATCTATACAGGCAGCATCTCACTCTTTGAATATTCACTTAAATATTTAGAAAGTTGGTTAACATTTAACGGGCTTGAGCTATCTGTCCCTAAAAGTACTGTGGTTGTATTTTCTAGGAAGCTTAGACCGCCAGACGTCATTATGGTGTATAATGATTTGTCCATTCCTATAAAATCACAAACGAAATTTTTAGGCGTAATCTTGGATTCCCGTCTTACTTTTTTATACCCCATTGTGAATATATACTTGCCAAAAGTGAACAAAATTTAAATATCACAAGATGTTTGACAGAGGTGTGGTGGGGAGCTCATTCTTTTTCTTTAAAATCGGTGTACAATGCCTTAATTAGAATTTTTGACTACGCAATTTTTATTCTCGAACCCTGTAATATGTCTGCTTTGAGAAAACTAGACAATATTCAATATAAGGCCCTAAGACTCATAATCGGCGTTATAGAATTATTTGATGCCATATACATATTTGCTTATACTATGTGTAGTAATAGATATTTATTGGTGGTTCTGCCATGGAGAATGCTCCGCAGCACAACCATATTGAATGAAAGTTTACGACAAAAATAGTGATATAGATATTTTTTAAAAAGGACTAGAATTTTATAGAAATCTAAATATCTGTAATTTAAAAAAAAAAAAAAATTATTAAATCTTAGGTGGTTTTGCCCCGGAGTATGACGCAATAGCTGAGCTTCACCGTAGAGTTGGGATGGGGGGTGTCTATATGGCTATTAAGCATTACTTTCAGAACCGCTCTTTGTGCTCTTTCAAGTGGTATCATATGAGTTTTTATTGCTGCGCCCCAAACTTATAGGCAATATTTAAGTATTGGTTCACAAAGCGACGTAAATTGATTTCAAGAGTTCTGTATTGGCTATATAACGCAGTTGTTTAAAAACATGTATCAATTTTCTAACCCTGGCAGCCGTTGTCTCTATATGGTTTTGCAAAGTAAATCGTTCATCTATGCCTAAGTATTTAATCGTACTTGATCGTAAAATAACCTCACATTTGCAATTATAAGATTTAACACTAGCAGCTTTTGGTTTGCAATCGTGAATTATCAGTTTAAGCTGAGTGTCAGGGTCAGGAGCTGCAGTTTTGTGGAAACGAATATTTCGTTTTACTGGTGTCGAGGGTTAGTGGGTTTTCGAACAACCACTTGCCTATTTTGGCTATTTGCCTCTTTCTGCATACGAAAAAAAAAAGACAATTGTATATAGGAAGATTTAGTCATGTCTGTTTCTATGGTCAACTAAAGAAGCCAATACGTAATGATTGTGTCTTAGTGAATACTTTGAAAACCTCCTAGCCTTAATATCGTCGGGGATAGTGCAAATCCGCGAATGTGGTATTGGTAAAAACACGCATCTTCATCAAACCAAATTTCACAGGAGAGGGATTTAACGTTATTACTTTGTTATTTCAATGGCTATGACTTTCATTTTTGCACAGTAAGCATTAATTTATGTTATTTACGGATGATAACAATAGATTCCCGTAAACCACGCAAATTTGGTTGCTACGACATTTACGCGGATTTGATTTTGCGACCGAAATGGATACCACAATCAAATGCTAGTTACGAGTAATTGCACTATCCCCGATTATATAACCTTATGCCAAATGGTATTATAGAAGCTTTCCAAACGCTTGGCATACACTTCGTAGTGTAGATTCCAAATAAAACTATGAATTCAAGCACAGGTTGTAAAAAGAATTATTTTTGTTTTACAAATTTAATTTAATTTTTCACGATCCATAGACGACCACAGTGTAGCTCTCCGCACTGTAACATTTCTTTATCTACTCGCACATCATGATGATGGTGTATGCTATAACAATCTTCCTCTCTTTCCTACAATTAAAGCCTTTATTCGTCGTGCTATAATGTACCAAGCAGCCACATACATTCGTTTACATTTTTCCAGATGAAATGTAATTGGATGTAAATTCCATGCGTGGCTCCACCATAGCTTGCATCTGTGCTAGTGATGTTCATATCAGCATCACTCTGAAATTAAGTATTTATAAAATAACAAGTTAAGCCTTTAGGTTATTTTTATCAGGTCCGTAATAATCTTACTAGCTGGACAAAGACTGACACTGCTTGCGACTGTATAATCTTTCTTCATTGTCAGTATCTTGAATTTCTGATAAAACCTAAAAAAACATATATTACAAAATATGGGTAATATTTTGAGTAACTCTTAGATCGTAGATCTTATCTTATTCCTTTCTTCAAGATTGTTTGGAAAAAGTATAATTTTTTTCTTATTTCTGTATGATTGAGACATGCTGTGATTTCACTTATTCCTACCTTTGAGCATATAGGACTGGAGGCGTCTTTGATAGGCAATCCCCTCTGTCAAGGTACAAGCACAAAACAATCATCTCACAATAAACACTACTTTCAACTCGATCCAGTCTTGGAATCACTACAGACATATTATTAGACCTATCTTCTATAGATTTGCACACTTAACGCGCGCCCAGACCTGCCTATTCACTACTTATATACCATATTTTCTGACGCGCATGTGCAGCAGTGTTCTACGATCTTCAAGGGTATTCATGCGATGATATTTGCGTGCTTCTACGTTTTTTTGGTTTTATAGTTTTAAAACTGTTTTTAGTTCTATACTTGGTCTTTGGTGCAACGGGCTGGTGTCCGCAACTCGACGACAAAGCGCCTATTTTGAGTTTAGTTCTATAGTTTAGATGTCTAATAAATACCTTCTGCATGTGTTTAATACAGTTTATGTAAGTACTATATTTAGGGATCCATATAACACTGCCAAATTCAAGTAAGCTACACACGTATGCATTACACACCACTTTAATGCAGCACGTATTTTCGAAAGGTTTGCACACTCTCATAACGAAACCCTGGCTTTATCAATAATAGAGTCAATGTGTTATATCAAATAACAGTTTATGGGCATTGAGTGGTGATCACTACGAGTCGCTCTCGTAAATTTGACCTTTACACGTTTTACGCGGAAGCAAAGGGCTTAAATGTCAAAGCCATTTTCGTTAATTACTAGATTATTAAATGTCTAAATGATATATAATAATGATATATTTGATGACTCATTAATATACCTTATTTTGTTTATGTAGTATTAAATTTTATGTTACTAACTAAAATAATATATTAAGAATATACGATAAACCTCAAAACACCTATGATTTTTAAAAAAGTAACGACCGAAAGTCAACTTTCATGCAAGTGTCTTATTCAATGACTAGAAAAAGGTTTAGTGGAAACTATATCTAAATTTGCATTGGCACATATTCAAACATAAGCACGAGTCAGGATATGCATTCAAAAAATATGAAATTTTGGAAGTCCAGTCTTAAGTAAAAATTGTACTGTACATTAATTCGCTTGCCCAGACATTACTATTGTCATCGAGTAGTATTTTGGGTATCTTTTTGAGACTCTCATCTGTCCCATTATTATTATATTTAAAATACAGCATAACAATTGAAGTTAATTGCATTATTAGTAATATGTGTATCCGTGCTTCTTGTGGTTGTAACTGAATGTTTGTCGTTTCAGCGGTAAGAACAATGTGATAGGAGTGGACCTTTGTCTGCGCAACTTGGACACCATAGTGTTTGTAATGCCCTACATACCTCATCGGAAATTCTCGGTTAGTTTCTTAAGTTTGTTTGTCTCTAATAATCACGTAGATATTTTTAACTTCAAGAAGTCTAGGATTGTGCACAAGTTTTATCTGTCAGGTAAATCTAGAAATTGTTCATTACAATTGGATATTGCAGTAGCCAGGAGTACCATCTATTGGTGAATATTCGGATTACATTGCCTTGTCATTTATTTTATACGTTATCAGGGTCGTACTCACCGCGCAATGCACATCGTTGAAATGTAGTATTGTGTGCAGGAGTACGTGGGTGAGATGGACGCGGTGGAGCTGGCGGCGTACATGCGCGCGCTGCTGATTGCGTTGCGCCACGTACACTCGTTCGGCGTCATCCACCGTGACGTCAAGCCTTCCAATTTTCTATACGACCGAGAGAACCGCAGGTTAGGCCTACACGGCTCCAGTTTCCTATCTTAGTTGTCATTATTGTAGCCTCCGGCGGTCCTGCTGCCACTTTCATTACCGCTACAAAATACCGTTTAGGCTGCAAAAGCGGCGGCTCGTGCGGCTTGACTTAAATGTCTAGGTTTACATCGTGCTGTTTTCGTAGCACTGGCGCCCGACGCGGGCGGCGCGACACGGGTGTCGCGCTCTAGTCGCGTGCTAGATGTGTGTTAGAATAGTCGCAGTAGTATTCTGTCGTTTACTTACGTTTACATTTCGATCAATCAAGTTGAGATGTCGTCGGAAGAAATAATTTCAGCAATTTTAGAAATACTACCAATACGGAACAGCGAATTCTTGAATGAATAAATAAATAATTTAAGCGGGATTCAATTCTGGCTCGATATTTTCAATAATATAGTCAAACACATTTGTGACAGCGGACTGTGCACATGTGACAATAAATAATAATAATAATAATTCTTTATTTAAACAGAAACGTTACATTCATTGTAAGGCCCTGACTTCCGAGCTAGGTTCAATGACCTGTGTTACGGAAATCTGTGTCTTCTCTCATAATTAGTTACACCTATTTATTTCTGGCAGTTTATATATCTGCTATTAATGTAATATGTATTAAAATGTGTGTGTGCGCGTGCGTGTGTTTGCGCGTGCGTGTGTTTGTGCGTGCGTGCGTCTCGCTCACTAAATCACTTTGAACTATAAATATTCGATTCTTTATATGTAGTAAGTTATTTGCGAAGTTAACTGCAACGTAGTCGCGAGAGAATAAAAAATATAAATATAAAATAAATACAAATACTCATTGGCCTACTTATCCGGATTTCGTCTACGGTTTTCGTATTTTCGGTAAAACTGTAGGATGGGTTCGCATCTTTTTCGCCCGTAACAACTCATACTTGATAACAAAAGTACTATAAGAGAGGTCGCGTCGAAGCGTCTTTATCGCGCGCACGAGCCGCCGGCGCCGCAAACTGTATATAACCAGAAATAGAGATGAAATGTCATTTAATTTGTTTGAAAATTATTCTGCCATATCGTTACTGTGATAACTCCGCTCCGATTGGCCAGCCCGAGATCGAAACAATTGCCGGGTGTCGTCAACTGTTTCACTTCAAATCGACCAGTTAACTTGAGCTTTGCTATAATGGACGAAAATTGCAAAATTACATAATTAATATTTAATTACCGATGAAATGTGATTCCTTTTGTTTTGTAATTAGATGTTTTGCTGTTTTCCCCACACCACCGAATAGAACAGCACGGCATTGTTAGAGATATTATCTTTATTACGATAATACAGAATATTTTTTGGAATATACGGAGACGTAC